ACCATTCCATACCAACAAGAAAAGTTTACTAAATGAATTTGACCTGATATTGCAACAATTGATTACCAGGTAAGTGATGGAGAACTAAATAATCTGCCATCGCCCAAAAATGTTATGAAAAACACGGAACAGGCATAATGAAACGAAAAGTATTACTGTTTCATGGAGCAGTACAACAGTTTACCATTAATAAAGCGCTACTCGGTTAACCAGGGCCCCGTTCCACGAAACTGTCGTAAGCCTATGTTAAAGTATGAGAGATACGATAAAGTTAGCTTAAATGTACAGTGTAACACCCTCTGTTTGTTAGAATTACGCACACGCACACACACACGCGCACACACACCAAGAGTATCGGCCAAGTACACACACAGGTATGGTACAAATATTTCTTGCTTTAAAATGTAATACAGATTTCATAGTTTTCCCCAACGGCAATGTAATAATGGTACTGTAAACTCACCAGGTCCAGGAACGGATCCGATAGGTCCACTGCACTCAGTACCTCTGTTCAAGTTATATTTCAACATCTCCATATCCACCGGAGCGGATGGATCCGACTGAAAGGTTTCCTGGTATATATAACACATCAAATACAGAACATTGAAGGCCATGGCCTCGCACGTTGCCTGCCGCATACACACATGGGTGCAGTCAGCTAAACTACCAACTTTCATCACCGTCATGAAGTTAGTAGGAAGGGTGTTAATCTGTACCAGGTGAAACGTCATTTCAAACGTTGCCATGTTTAACGTGAAGTGTCAGTTCTGTGTACAGCGAATCAAATATTAGATTATCCTTCCACAAGCATCGTCATAATAATGTGGATGTTCCGCGACTGCCAGGGAAAGCAACCAGTCAACTGATTACTTGATTAATGAACACCGTAGAAAACGCCCCTCCCAGAGCGACTTCTAAACGATGCATTGATTTCAGATCTATATTGTCAACAATGGCTTTACTTTAGCGGGCGATATTTTGAAACCATCGTTCCGTGTGTCCAGGATACACAAATAAATATTTTGTCAGTTTTGTCATCTCTCGAAGGAAATCACTTCAAGTGTACTTCAGCTTCACTATATCTGTCTTCATGTACAAAATGTTATGTACAACATTGTGTGTCGAGATGTTGTCCATAAAATGTTTTAGCAGCTCTGTAAGTTACTATTCTGTTTGATCTTTAGTAAGTAGGATGAAAATATATTTTTTTAAAGTTGTCTAGAATGAGGTTTTGCAATGATATTGCAATAATAGAGTCCAATAAGTAGGTCACGACACTTCGCAAGACTTTGGTACTTCCGGTGACAAACAACGTTTCATACCTTTTCGAATGGTCTCATGGTTGTCAGTTGACACTAAGGAACTGATAATCCTTGCAGGAATAACAAATTTCCGATCAAACCATCCCTAAATTAGCCAACTATTACGACGGTCAACAGCAGTGACAGCCAAGCGTGGTTGTACACTTTGTCCGGTGCAGTAAGGTCATATTTGTCGGTCGCGCAATTTGGAACCAGTACTGGGTCTTGAATATACGCTTGTCACCGGAAATCTGGTACCGGAAGTAAGCTGGACCCCGTCTCACATATCGCAAGATGGTGTGCGCAAAGGGAGCCGGGGACCAGTTCAGTACCGGAAGGAGCGCCTCGCGAGACTCCCAGGTCATATAAGCTTTATGAATGAATGTCATAACATGTTGTTGATAATTCTACGTTCCACGTTCTTTTATGAAATTACCCAAATAGAACTATTTAACGAAGAATGAAGGCACAAGATAGAAAACATTATTTAGGTTTTTACATAATTACAAAAGATATTCCATCTCATAAAGGAAATGGTCCATTCCATAAACTATAAATCTGTTCGTGTATGTACCATTAATTTATTGTTTTATAATTGTGAGTAATAGTATTGTAGCACATATTTTAAATCGTAAATAACATCATTTCAGTCCATATTGTTTAGTGTTTAAAATGTCATTAACATTGAAATGTTAAAATATTTTGTGTTTATAATGGAATTCTGTATTTGTGTCTTAATCTTGTTGCTACTTGGCTTAACTAAAGCTAATGTTGTAAAGCTTATAAGTTGCAAACCACTCATTCTATGATGGGAATGAGAAATGAGAGGGACATTTGCGAATTCTAGGCATTTAGTAACGTTAAGGATGTCCGATGCAATTCCCTGCTTAGACCTGAGCCATCATATTTATGTTCCCCTGTATTTAAGATCATTAACTGTCTTTTCCCTGTTCGTGTCGCCCGTGTGTGGGGAAACGTTCACCTTTCGCGAACACCTGGTATCATCACTATATGATGTGTTGTGTTGGTTTGTTGTTTAACGCCTTACATCTTACATTCAGCTATATGGCTACGGTCTGTAAATAATCGAGTCTGGACCAGACAATCCAGTGATGTACAACATGAGCATCGATCTGCACAATTTGGATAGAATGATTTGTGTCAACCAGGTCAGCGAACCTGACCATCGTAATCATATAACTGGAATACTGTCCAGTGAGTGAGTTTAGTTTTACGCCGCACTCAGCAATATTCCAGCTATATGGCAGCGGTCTGTAAATAATGGATTCTAGCCCAGGCAATCCAGGGATCAACAGCATGAACATCGATCTACACCATTGGGATATGATGACATGTGTCAACCAGGTCAGCGAGCCTGACCATCCGATCCTGTTAGTCGCCTATTACGACAAGCATTAGTTACTGAAGATCAATTTTAACCCGGATCTTCACGGGTAAGGAATATTGTTCAGAGCGATCACTTAACGGTTTTGGGTTTTGATGCTTGTGCAACTGTGTCTTTTCTTTCACCCCCAAAAATAAAAAAAAAAAAAAAAATGTGAAAATACAAGTTGACCAATTGAAACGTGTTTATTTCTCAAGACATCAAGATATATACTCAAATACAATTAACATTATATTCCATAGCATGGACACGAAGAGCGTGAACATAAATATAGGCAGTGTAGGAAAGATGTAGAAAATCTAGCCTGTCCACAGGACTGGCAGGTCAATATATTTACCAGTCCTGCCAAAATCTAGCCTGTCCTCCAAATATAAATAAAACACCTTCGGCAGTAAATATTCAAAAAGGTTATAATCATTATATATATGTCATTGGTTTGCTAAAATTGACCCGACATGAGGACGGACTAGATATTTTTTTAACCCGTCCTCCACAAAATTCACCCGTCTCGGACGATGGGACGGGCTATCTTTCCTACACTGATATAGGTCACTTCAAAGCCATTATATTACATACTGTAATCTGTCGATCGATAACTACTGTGTCAGTCAATGAACAAAGCTTCTTTCAATCCTGAGTAAAAGACTTCTTTCACTGGTATTCTAAAAGTTTAGGAGACGAAGAATGAGGGCAATGTTTATGGATATGCAACTTCTTATTCTGTATGAATGTGGATGAATTTGAAACATACAAAATCCTGAATCCAGGATCAGGATTCCATTTGTTACTATCTGCATTGTACACCAGGAGGATTGCAACAAGTACCTGTTTATGAATTTTGTAAGTGGCGTTTATTACCGGAAGAGCAAGACCTGTTTGTCCTTTTTTCGAGAGCACATAAGAATTGCCCTGTGTTTTCAGTTCATTAAAGTATGAATCGACAATTCGATAACCTAGCGGATTCTTGAAATGGTTTGCATATCGGGTTTTTTCCATTCATACCCAATTAAACCGTAAAAATACAGTCAAGCCTTATAATTAAATTCGACAAAAATATATCTACCATCTTTGATGTTTTCATAAAAACGCAAATTAAAGTAATATTAAAGTAATTAATTAATTTAATTAAAGTAAACAGAAATTACGAGATTGATAAACATTCAAAGTGAAATAATACATAAAGTGACAAAATACTTTTTCCGAAGTATTTTTTCCAATACAACTGAAGAAGGTGCGAGACAGAGATTATAATATACATAGCAATAATATCTCAACAAAGAACTAATCCCCAATTCCAAAGAACATGTATACACATGCTTAGTTCAAAAGAATTTCGCAAAGAAATCTATCAAATTGACCGCAGGGTGCATCATGTTGACCTGTACTGTCCAAAGCCAAGCAGTCCTGTTTCGTGGTCGCCCCGTTTGGCTGACCTGGTGACCAGTCAATAAAGGGCATTGGCCGGCTGGTCCCTTCCTCCCAGTAGACCCACTCTCCTGTAGCAGGGATCCGGTCTCCTCGGATGTAGGCTGTAATGGTGGAAACCTGGATTGACATTTTCCGGTTATGATTTAAAATAGTCAGTGCATTTTTGGTCTCTCTGTTCTGATACACATCACCTCATATACATGTAGATATCACGATCATAGATGGTTTGAGAAAAGCAAGCCTTATTTCATTTTAACGTATCGATGCAAAATTTTAAAGTCGCTTTTAGACATACTTTGCAACAACATCAACGACCAGACAAACCCCCCCCACACACACACACACCGAAAAACCCAAACCATCCCCCCACTTCTCCCCCCAAAAACAAACAACAACAACAACAAACAAACAAACAAAAACCAAACAAGGTGCAACTTAAATAACAAACAAACAAAATACATGACCCTCCACGGTAATTAGATGAATTTAAACTTGAGAAATATAGTATCGATGTGTAATTTGCACATCAATATGACAGCTGGCAACCTTCTGCGGATACACTTTTTGTCGGAATTGTGGCTGTGTGGGTAGCCCTACGGTTAAAGTGTTCGCTTGTCACGTGGAAGAAGGTTCGAATGTAGTTTTGCTATGCCCTGATATTGCTTGTGTATTGCTAAAAGTAGTATCAAAACATATTCTTCCACTCTTAATATCTTTGATATATGCTTTTTAAAAAAAGAAACTATACATAAGTAAAAATTTAATTTTAGGACGGGAATAGCTGTAATATTGCTGAAACCGCTGTATTACATTTCATCATCCACAAGAAGATAGAGGTAGGATATACCAGTGTGAAAACGGTGCGCCTTAAGTGATGTTTGCACTAATCTACATACGATCGCGACTTGTATATCTTATTACCCACATGTTATTTAACGATATACAATAGGAAACGCACGCCTGACACTACTGAAACATGGTAGATAAATGTGATAACATCCAATTACAGAAAAAGACCAAAGCTTCACACTCAATATACCATGCATGCGATAATTGATGTGATTAAAGAACCGGAAATGCCATATTTACTGTATTGTTCTCTTGGAATTAGTTTCATGAAGAAGTCTTGCTTTTCCTGATTGTCAATCGTCAGCAGACCAGAAGCTCCTATCTGGAAACACGCATCCTTGCCTGATGGGTTGTTTGAGTAGAGGCGTTTGTAACAGACGTTGAGGGATGGTTCATAGCTGTAATCGCTTCCAAGCGGACAAACTCGATACACTTAACAAGAAAAAGACCTATATAGCTAAATACTTATGTAATCGTCCATAGCAATATATACACTGTAAAGTCATTTGTTTTAATACAGATCTGGTTTGTTTCCTAACCAAACTGTAATGTTACGCTCATTTTGTCCTTTGTGGACAGGTATTTACTTATGATGACTCTTTCTCCATCTCAATATTGCTGCAGTGTAAACTTTTATCTTACGTGTGGTTCTGCTATAAAATAGAAAGCGTTCATGTTCGTATTCCTGTAAAGGAGACAGACAAACAGACAGACAGGCCTATAGTACATACAATGTAACAATTAAACAATGTTGACCAAAAGGGCTTGCATGTTTTGTACAAAAGTAACCTTTACAAGAAGGCTTACTTGTTTATAATAGTTATTATAGTATTACTTGAAATAGACACACAGCTTATGACGATAAAGGGTTGTTTCTCATGATTTGTAAATGACACAAAAAAACGTCCAATGAACAACAACATATCAAAATGTTCACTTGACATAGCCTGAATGAAATTATCTTGTGTATTGATTTTAATACATGTAGTAGGAAGCATAATTTCATGTTACACTGCTTCATACCGCTTACGTATCAACAGTACATGGAATTCGTCTTCAACAAAGGACATATCATCATGGGTACAATAATAAAACCTCCGACCATCCTATTTCTTCCTATGTCTCAGCCAATCTAAAGTTATAACATCTAAACTGTGACAAGAAGTTTGCACTATATAATGCTATCTTGAGTAAGACAGTCTTTGCTTTAAAAATGATATGAAGACATTTACATGTCCAATATCTTTGGAAAGCCATGTAACACCAAATCCATACTGACATAAAATATTTCATGTTGCCGAAGTAGTCCTTGCAACATCATCCAGACATTTTACCATTGACGAGGCAATCTATAGGTATGTAACTACAGCCGTCTGCACACGTACGTGACACACTTTGGCATGTACTTATATTGCAATGGGACCCTTCCGCACTCTCAAGTGCCTTCAGAAACCTTTTATAAAAATGTGTTCGAAAATTTTCAATTAAGTTACAATTGGCTGTGCCCCAAATCTCAGACCCATAATAGAGTAGAGGTACACTAGGTTTTAAACATATCTGTACATGAGATGGCTCCAAATTTCTGTTGATAGATATATATATTCACATACACTGGGCAAAAAAAGAAACGCAACAGGGTAACATCAAGGAATGTTTATGTTTAATTCAAAATCAATTTACTCAATACATATTGAATGCACAAATATAGCATTTCACAGGAATATAAGCAAATGTATCATGAGTCATGCAGAGGAATTTCAGAGGAGGAGTTTCTTGGACGTTTGAATCTGTTACAACATCATCTCAAAGTCAGTATCTCGTATGTGTCCCACCAGCAGCAATCACATCTCTGCATCTCCTGGTCATAGACTGTATCAGTGTCCTTATTTGAAGCTGTGTAAGCTCCATTCCTTATCCAGTGCTTGGCGTAACTGTTGAAGTGTCTGAAGTTGAGGTCGCCGTAGTCGTACACGTCTATCGAGCTGGTCCCATATATGTTCGATAGGGTTGAGATCGGGTGATTTTGAGGGCCATGGGAGCACGTTTACGCTGTTGTTGGCAAGGAAATTCATTGTAGCATGTGCGACGTTTGGTCGTGCTTTGTCCTGTTGGAACATATCACGTCGGACGTCGATTGAAGAAAGAAGATTGCGTTGAAGAACTTCGTCACGGTAACGAAGTGCAGTTAAATTTCCCTGTATGTTCACGAGATTTGTCCTCCCATCAGCGGATATGGCTCCCCACACCATGACACCTCCTCCCCCGAATCTGTCACTCTCAAGAACGCAGGGACGACTGTAACGTTTATTCCGCCCCCGGTAAACACGTATCCTTCCATCATGACGAAACATGAGAGAACCATGAAATGTGACTCGTCACTGAACCAAATCCTCCTCCATTGTACGCAGGTCCATGGTCGAACGTTTCGACTCCATCGCAGTCGTGCACGACGACGGTGGTGTCGTAGAATAGGTCCTGTAAAGGGCCTCATCGGTCTGATACCGATTCCTGACGGTCTGTGCGTCGCTCTACGGAGTCCAGGAATGGTGTGAGCTGTGTACGCTGCAGTGACAGTTCGATTCCGCAGACCCGTGAAGGTCCGGGTTAGAATGAGCCTTCAGTAACCCATGCTTGTCGTAAGAGGCGACTAACGGGGTCGGGTGGTCAGGCTCGCTGACTTGGTTGACACATGTCATCGGTTCCCAATTGCGCAGATCGATGCTCATGCTGTTGATCACTGGATTGTCTGGTCCAGATTCGATTATTTACAGACCGCCCCATATAGCTGGAATATTGCTGAGTGTGGCGTAAAACTAAACTCACTCATTCACTCACTCGATTCCACAGATGGAATATCTTGATGAAGAGGTCCTGAGCAGGAGTTGTCACCCTTGGTCTGCCACTTCTTGGTCGGTCTCTTGTCGAATTAAAGCGTCTGTAACGCTGCCAAAGTCTTGAAAACGTACTTTTAATGGACATTCAGGAGTCGGGCTAATGATGACTGTGTTTCTCCGGCCTCTAAACGTCCAATGGCTCTGTTCCGAGCATCTTCATTCAATCTTGGCATGTTGTTGTTGGCGTATTCCGAATAAATGTGTATATTTCAAAAGCACGGGACTGCCAGTTGTTATAGCCACACATATCAACCACAAGCAGCCACACTTTCACGTGCACCATGCTTTCAGATTTTTCTCCACACATATCATGACATTATTTTTTCCAGTTCCAGTATTTTGGCGAAAAATACGCAACTGTTGTGTTTTTGTGTTAGAAGTCATCGTAGAGACAATAGGTAAACTTATCCATAACATTAATATCGATTTCACAAAAACAGTGTATAAAAGTTTTTGTTTTAAAGATCACACTTGGTCTTGCGTTTTTTGGGGTCCAGTGTACATGCCATCTGAGCCGTAAAACAACACTGTTCCTCTTGTAGTGTCATTAATTCATACTGACGAAAATGTCCACCTTTACAGAATACCATTATTTTTGTTGTACTCAAGTATATATTCATACTAGTACTTACATAAACGTGTTCATGCATATGAATCTATTTTGTAAAAAAGCAGCGTATCAGATACAAGTGAAACATCATCTGCAAAGAAAGCAACTGTAACTCTCGGAAATTCAATTAAAATAGATATACGTTTCCCACCATTATTATCAAACATTGGTTTAGGTTTATGAAAATGAAAATATTTACGGACTGATTATGCATCCCTGACTGGTACCAGTGTCACACATAAATTACTTTGTCAGGTTAAAATTACCTCTAATACCAATGTCAATTAAACTCTGGAACAAAAAGACATTTAACACTATCAAATGCTCTTTTAAAATCAACGAATATAAAAACCTTAAATAAAACAAATATTTCTGTTTTATCATGTGTAGGCAGAATAGCTGGTCTTTAGTAGAATACTTTTAAATAAGTTCTTGAAGTCGTTCTGAACCCTCTATAAATTTCAAAGTTATTTCCCAAAGTTCTATTTTGTCTCAAAGCTGCCATGTTTCTCAGTTTAAGGCCGCCAGTCATATGTTCACATGTATGTTCCATACATACCTGATCCAAGGTTGGCATGATTGTCGAGATACATAGTCCTTATCATGGGTATATCATTCACTGCTTGCACATTTGTGATCATCAAGTTTCCTTGTACAGGCAAGTGGAAAATGACAAGAGTAATCCCTTTCAAAATATTTATAATCTGTGAAATATTGGAATAAGCCATCAGAGGTAAGCATATGTGTACATAGTACTGTTAACTCACAAGGTCCTGGAACTGATCCATCATTTCCGCTGCAACCGGTTGCCCTATTAAAGTTGTATGCCAAAACCCCCACGCCACCAGAGGCTCCAGGATCTGCCTGAATGTCTCCTTGGTATATACAACAGACCAAATATAATGTGCTGAATACCATAGCATCACATGTTGACTGCCGCATACATTCATTAGCGCAGTCTAGTACACTGTCGACTTTCAGTACCATCGTGAAATCAGTAGGGAAGGTGCTGATCGGTACAAGATCAAACGTCATCTGAACAGTTACCATGTTGAGTCGAAGTTTGAGTTCTGCAAAACGTTGAATCCGAACTGAGATTAATCTTTATGGTCCGGGACGTTATGAACACTCTGCAATGTAACATGTATCCATTGCCAGAACACAGCAATATGAACATTGATTTCATCTTCATGTTTTCAAGAGCATCTCTTCTAATATTGGTGTAATGCCATCTCGTGTATAATACCACTTGTACACCAAGAACAACAATCTTTAAAATATCTATTTTAAAAATGTGTTTTTACAGTACCCACATCAAAGTTTGATGTATACTGAGATAAACAAATATAGGAACACAGGAAAATTCAAGTGTTCCTTCAATACTTTCCAGTTTTTATCACCAGCTGTGGGAGGAAATCTGCCACACTGAACACTGCCATGAAGTGGTGTTCCCTTATTTGTTTCCCTCAGTATATAATAATTGATTACTATCCAGAACATTGCTTCGTGGATTGGTTGGAAGTCATTACAGTTGACATAGGTCGGTGTGATAAATAATGAGGTTTGGAAGAAATAGTACCAGGTAATACGATAATCTTGGTATTTCTGACTTCCAGATTGTAATGCTATGATTGTTGTCATGGTAACCGTTTTGGGTGTCACATCACAATAGTATACTATCAAAAAATGAAACGCATTGGCGTTTTGTATTTTAACAAAATTTATTAATTACCTATCTTGTTCAAACAATCGTCAAAATATGTAACAAAAGTGTTGTTGAGATGATTATACACAATTGCACAAGGCAAAACATCGACTTTACCTGAAAATGTTGATTTTTATGAGCTTTCTTACAAGGATTAAGAAAGCATCTCTACAACGCAACAAAAATCACCCTCCGACGTCACCATCGCGCTCAACGTCTCCGTAATAAAAAATGATCCACTTGGTTGTATAGACATTTCCTTCTTCTAAACTGATGTAAACATTCACGTACTAAAGTCTGTTGGTAGACGAGTTATATATGTTTGAAAATACAGCATTTTCGAAACAGATTTCTGGCCTATGTGTTTCTTTTTTGTTAAAGTATAAAACACATGACAGATCCAAAAGTCACCAAATGCATTTTTATTGATTTAGTGATATCTAAAGCACATCTTCGCTTGAGCAAAGATACAATATACTTCAAAAGGGACATGTATAAATATATGTGCATAATAGTTTATCATGGATGCGAACGTGGTGTATATTACCCGTGGAGTCGAGCACCGGACCACACAGTATTACTTTCACGACACATCTGATGTCATATGTCAATCAGCAGCGCAGCAACTCGTGTGTTGATGTCAGTAATCGCCTCTAATAATTAACGTCAAAGTCTATGATGAATAGTATGATATACTATTTAAGCAGTACGAGAATCGTATGATTTTTAAGCACTACCAGAATTGCATGACATATAAGCACTACCAGAATCGTATGACTGAGCACATGTATATGACACACATACATATACGAATATATAAACTTACAGCATCAATGACTGAGCACATTACAATTCTACAATGTTATTGCAATAAACTACTACAAAGAAATTATCAAAATTATTATATATTAATATGTGAAGCCACGATTGTTCCTTAACGTCTTTTGAGTTGTACACCTTCCCTGTAATTTGCCAAAAGATGAATACATGAATATACTACTCCAATGCAGAATATCGCCATTATAATTACAGCTGAGGAAGGATTCGAATACAAGAGCTGTGGGATTTTACAATGGTAGCCACATAATACATCGTACCGCTGACTGATGCTCTTGCTATCGACCTCTATTTTAGTGGGCAAAACGTGCGTGAAGTCAGGTAATATTTATGAAGTAATAAGTAACATAGCTGACAGTCGCGAGACAACACTCAACGTGGTCAGAATAAAGAATTGGGACGACGACTACACACCAGCGTTTCTTGCAGTAGGTCAGTTTTTTCCATTTATAACATATATTATATTTGGGATTACACTTTCTTAGTAAAGTACAGATTCTAGTACTTTTGGGGTTGAGTCCCAGCACACAAAGTCAGACGCCTAGACCGCTCAGCCACCGCAGCTTCCACAAAAATGGAAGTCGGGCAACTGGTAGTCTAGACTGCGGACTTGTGTACCCCTATGATAAATGTTAATTGGCACGGCTCCAACGGCCGAAAGCTATGAAATACACAATGCCATTTTAGGAAGTGGTCAAATGTAACATATGTTATATTTGGGATTACACTTTCTTAGTGCCTGACGCTGAGGGTGTGGGTTCGAATCCCGGATGGGACTCAACCCAAAAAGTACTAGAATCTGTACTTTACTAAGAAAGTGTAATCCCAAATATGACATATGTTACATTTGACCACTTTCTAAAATGGCATTGTGTATTTCACAGTTTTTTACATTACTTGTGATACATGACTGATATTTTAAATAGTCTATGATATCATACTGATACAATTGGTTTTCAATTAGTCATTGATATTAACTGTTCCTCTAGGCGAATAGCTGGAAGAGTGCTGGCGAGGCGTAAAACAATATTCATTCGTTCTTGCAGTACATGTTGAGTCGCTGAATTCTTCAGACGAGGTTTCATAAGCCCCAAACAACCGTTCAACAGGTCAACGCGTGTACTGTCTAATACAAGAAGTCGATACATGTATAAAATGTGTGTAATGTTATGACATGTTATCTGACTGTAGGCTGACGCACGGAAGGACGATTTCTATTGTGTCTGTTTTCATTTCATGCCTTTATAGTCCCTAGTTGCCAAGGTACTATCACAATGACAACAACAGCAGTTGCCCTTACGTTTCATATCTATTGGAACACAATCAGCCATGCTGTTTATACATGGATTTCAAAGAGCATCAACCGTCTCTTCCTTACAAAAACGTGTTTGTTAAGGTTACAGCATTCAGGGTCTTTGGAAATGTTTCAAAGAATTTCATGGTAGATAGGAATAATTGACGCATCAGTGACAAAAACGTTGCACGATGTCATGGTGTAATTTCACCCACATCTTCTCATGGCATTAATAATGAAAACTTCGCTTGTTTTGGTTTTTGACGGGTGGCAACAGGAGAGCTGACATCATCGTCAGTTGACTGAAGGACAGACACCTATGGTATATAGTGGGAATCGTTCTTTGTCATAATGCTAATGAAAGGGTTTTGTCGCTTTTATTTACGCAATGCTTGTCGCCAAAATACACAACAAAATTATACACTTGACAACCACATTGTTGGTAATAATTGTAATTAAACTTCTTATGCCAAACAGCCGGGACAGACATGTAAGTTTGGCGACCGACGTGAAAAACATGGTCATTCAGCGTGGAAAAACCCGGAAACACGACAATCATGTGCAGCGAGTCTTGTCATCATCTAAGCGATCCATCGTACATTACGATGCAAGAACACAGACAGTACTGAATAGATTTAAAACATTGAAATTGCAAGTTTAACATAAAATCTAGCCTGTCGCGACTCACAAATGAGCATGGTGAGCGGGCGACGGGTCGGCTTCATGATTGGCTCTCTGTTGTAGCAGCTGCATGAGAACTGGGCCGTAGTTGTCACACAGTACACAGTCTCACGATCCGCGGCCATCAGATGGGCACCGTTGCAGATCGCATGAACAAACCAGGTTACGTCATCTTCGCAAAAGATTTCCCGACCATCGGGTATCGAATAGAGTATCATATACAGGACCTATCTTGACGCAATTTCATCGTGCTCAGCGTTTACGATTGGTCCATAGGCATCCAAGATTCAACCAGAGACAATGGAACAGGATTGTCTTCAGAGACAAGTCACGCTTCACGTTGCGCTTTGCCCACAGTAGGGTATGGGTGTGGCACAGGATAGGTGTGTTATTTCTAAAATAAAGAAGTCAGCTGGACAAGGGTATTCATGATATCGTACGGGAAACTTTTCCTGACCGACTCTGTACGCAAGTCACACTTTCCCTAACGTCTATACAAGCAGTTAGGTTGATTCATTCGAATTTCGCAGATACGATAAAAGTCTACATCACACGTTGCATCGTGTTCTCCCTCAAAGTTCAAACACAAACAATATTGAAATCTATCGAGGCCATTGGGCTGACCTTCCTTCCAGCCGATATATGGTATATCTACCGCAATTCCGTCTTCGTCGTACACCCATCGTCCATCTACGTAACGTCCACTTATGTATGCTGAAACACACGGAAAGGAATATCAGAAAACACATGAACACCTTTGTCGGATCATTTACTCGTTTAAACTCAGAATTCGTTTGGTGTGGGTTAAATTGTAGTGATGATTTTCCATTGTAGTCAATCCATTATAGTGAGTGAGTATGGTTTTACGCCGCTTTTGGCAATATTCCAGCAATATCACGGCGGGGACACCAGAAATGAGCTTCAGATATTGTACAAATGTGGGGAATCGAACCCGGGTCTTCAGCGTGTCGAGCGGAGTATTTCAGCTATTTCATTACGCGTGATCAAACCTCCGTATCATTCTTAGTTGGTAATTAACAAACTATATGAATGTGTAAATGTTATTTGTGAAAGTGCTTATACACAGGATGTTTATAACATGTCATCAACAGACACCCAAACGTGCAGCCATCTTGGCATGTGTAGGCGGTATTCAGACATAACCTTCAAACTTATCTAAGCTTTACGTTTCAAACATGTTTTCTCCTTTATATATCTTGCTCTTCAAAAACGTGAGTACCAGACTGTTACTATAGCAACCGGCGCTCACGAATACGTTATACAAGCATTAAGGGAAGTTACTAAATATGACACATTCCTTGTCAACATGATGCTGAATGCAATCAATAATATTAACTTTATACATTTCTGACGCCATCTTACTCTAAAGGAACGTCCTATGTTAAATTTGTGTGCAATCTACACCTGTTGTTGCGAACACCTGGTGTCATTACTGAATTTCAGCGATGTATTCTCACATTTTAACCACCGTTTTGCAGTCTATGCCCTGTAAAATTTCAGCTGATTTTCAATAATATTCCATAGCTCTGAATTTTGAATTATATTCACACTGAAGATGGGATAGGGACGTTATGTCTGCTTCGGTTTCACGTAAACATGACAATTGTTTTGTTTAGTCTCGTCGTATACAATTTGCTGACCACATTCGGCCATAAGCGGGCTATAATTTATTAAATGGGTCTCAAAGCACACGAATATTGTGATATGAGGCGCACCATATTTGTTACAAGGCATGATGGACATAAAGAAGTCTCTCTTGTCTTTTGTGTCAATCTTCAGAAGGCCGGAAGGAACATCCCTTGTGCAAGCATCCTTGGCAACCTGTTGGTGTGCGTACACGGTGTGGAGCTTGTAACAGACGTTTATCTCGGAGTTGTATTCATATCCGTCACTCCCAGTCGGACAGACAGGACACTTCAGCTCTAGACCAAGACAAGGAAGATAAAAGGGCTTTACGACACATGATATGTGAGTGTGCTTAATATACAATCAAACACGGTTATGTCGAACTTTGATATGTCGAACAATGGTTGTATCTGATCTCGAATAATTTACTTAGGTCCCATTTACTTCGATACAACGGTGCTTGACTATACATGGCATTGTAGATTAGTTGGTCTAGGGTTTAAGTTTTGTAGTATAACATATACATCACGAAAATAGTCCATTTAATTTCCACATTCAATGTTGAAGTATAATCCATTTGCTTCTGGACTAAAATCAAGTTATTTCAAAAGGCGATCTATAGAGTTTCAGAGCAAATGAATTTGTGTCGTACTTGACATAAGCCATTGGTCTGTCAGGACACACTTACCTTTTCGCGAAATCTTAAGCATAGTCACTATTTCATAGTGATTCATACAAATATATACTACATGTAAATTACCGGGCAAAAGAAAGTTATCACTTTTAAAGTAATTGTATCAAAAACAAATACGCAAGTACAGGTTTGGATCCAAGCAGAAAACAGTCGCCAAAACGCAACATGGTTCCCGATAACAACGCAGCTGTACGAATCTTGCATTTTTCAAAACTTGAATAACGTGAATAACGTAATTGTGGGACATTGGTCAAAATGCATGTGCATAAACACCACGAATATGCCAAGACTTACGCAAGCTCAACGAGACAGGGCGATCGGCATTGCATTGCCGATGTGGGCTTCACAACGTCAGCTGGTAGCAACGTTCAACTGCAGCTAGGCCACCATCAACAAATTGATAAACAGCTACCAGTCAACAGGCCAGACCCAAGACCGCCCAAGATCGGGAGTACCAAGGGTGACGACACCGGCCGACGACCGCTACATCCATCAAATCCACCTCCAGAACAGATTCGTGACGACTTAGTCAGCGGCGGCGACAACACTAGGACACGCCTTCAGCAGACGAACAGTCTTTCGTTGACTTAGTGTGGCTGGTATACGAGCCATACTCGTGGAATGGCCTTGACCCGTCTACACCGTCAACGCAGACTGCAATGGGTACAAACTGTACGTCAGAGAGAGAGTGCCCTTTACTAAAGTCGAGTCAGTATGTTCAGAAACGATGGCGCCAAACTGGCGCAAAACTACGTTCAAGAACTTGTTTGAGTGGTATTTAGGAGTTGGTGTGATGAACAACGAGGAGAGTTCTATGGATATACAACGGAGACTCCAACCGGCCATGAACAGAGACCAAGGATATTACATCCCCACTGCCTACAACCAACTCATCACCAAGCAACCTTAATCCAAATAATCCCCCCATAGCTTATGTGTTTGTGTAACAATTGCCTTCTTGTGTGAACATCCTCCAACCTTGTACATCAACCTCATTAATTGTGCAAACATCAATCACTTACTGTTCAACTTTACTATGTATATATATATATACCTTGCCTCTAGTTTTGTACATCATTTGCTTGATAAGGGTGTTAGTAGCTACACCGAAACGTCGCTCATATTGTATTAAAGAAGTTGAATATCCAAAGAACTCTCCTCGTTGCGTTCAAGAAGTTCATTCTTTCGATGGAGAAGGCGTCATGGTATGGGTCGACATTTGTGGTCAGAGAACAACAAGACCGGGTATAATCCGAGGAAATCTGAATGACCAGCGATATAGGGATGAAGTGTTGATACCTTTTGTGGTGCCTTTTATTCGACAACAGCCAAGAGGAGTCTTTTTTGCAGTACTACAACGCAAGACCTCACACCGTCAGAAACTGTTTCGGTCGGTAATATTTTATAAATCATACTTAGAGAGTTATATAAAACATTCAATAACCAGTATGATTGTCAGTGTCCTGTATCGCGACTAGTTATTAATACGACCAGCGGGATCCTGGTGGTGAGACTCGCTGACTTGGTTGATGTGTTATGATGTCCAGTTACGCAGATCGATGCTTATGACGTTAATCATCGGAACGTCTGGTATAGACTTCACTATTTACAAAGCGGCGCAATATAGCTGGGATATTCCCGAGTGCGACGTAACCCCCCCCAAAACAACAAAAACCAACAACAAAGAAACAAAAACACAAAAAAAACACAAAAAAACAACAACAAAAACCAAATAAACCCCAAATCTTTTGACTTATATACTTACCAATCACTGGCATTTTTCCATTGGTGCCACTGCATTCTGGTTTTCTCTCAGAATTGTACATTAACAGCTCAGTGTTGACAGTGTCGGATGGAATCGCCTGTAAAGACTCTGAGTAAATGTAACACGCTTGATGGACGGTGTTAAATACCATTGCGTTACACGAAGGACTGGCCACACACTGGTGAGAGCAGTCCAGAGAAGAGTCCACCTTGACCACCTTCACGTGATTGGGAGGAAGGGTGCTTATTAGCACAAGATCAAAAACCATTCTCACAGAAGCCATGCCCAAGCAGTAAATCGAGTTCCCTAACTTGCAGAGAAAGAACTTTAAACTACTTGTTTCAGAGACAAATGCACGATAACGTCCAGTCGTTTTAACATGATAAGCCTGTTCATCTTGTGTCATCTGACAGCTCTCGCGCATGTATATAGTCCTATGCATATATTTACGTAACTGAAATCTATTGTAAAAATCCTTTAAAAAAAACACACTGCAGATCTTATCCCTATGTCATTCTGACAAACAAATTGTTGACAATAAATAAAGAATCTTTAAAGCGTTTGCATAGGGCATTTTGAGCACTCCCGCGAGGCATGGACAAATATTTTAGGTTTTAGTTCATGTTTCTGTTGGCTATGGAAGCGTTTTAGTACCACAGTCTAAAAAGACTTTCATCATTTACTTTGATGGTACTTTCGTCTACGTGGAAGATACTTACATCTACGTAGATGATGCTTTTCGCCTCCCTCGCTGATACCTCAGTATAGACATGTAGGTTGAATGTAAAAGAAACCAGCTAGAGGCTATCGCTTGTTGTCCAACGCCTTCTCCGCATTTTTCGAGCTAAGCGGCGACGGTCTGGTCGGGACCAATCCGGTGATGGACATCATGAGCATTAGCCAGGTCAGCGGACAACGATTATTATGGGTAGCCCAGTTGAACCCCGGGTATTCACCGAACAACCACAGGTTTCATAATACAGACACGGAACTATACTCGATTATTAATGCTTCCTTCCCCTAAGTCGATTATAATATCATATACGCAAACATAAGTAGCATCTACCTAGACGTAAAACACCATCTACGTAGATGAAATACCTTCAGACTGTGGCCCTTATAGGTTTCCATAGTTTGCCAATTTTGTAGAAACAAATATTATTTTGTTGGAATAGTTGCGTTTAGAGAGGATTACTATCTTCATGCCTGTATAGAATAACGGAAAAGTTTGAAAACGATTTTTACATCAGAGTGGATTATGGATTTTAACACACGCTCAGTAAAAGCCATATTTACACCTTAAGAATTAATCACGTTCTGATGTAGTTGTTCATATCTGGATTTCTGCTATGGATTTAGAAATTACTCGATGCTCAGAAATCAGATTAACATACCCGTAGATTTAACCACTCCAGATTTATTCTGAATAGAACAACATGATGTTTCAGACCCTACAGTTAGAGTATCACCGTCGTGTACAGAAAATACCAAATTGTACGTTTGTCATAGCCATAACTTAAAATACATTCTCCTTGTAGATTTCCTTTGTGTTTTCTACACGGATATACTGCCCTTTGAAAGGGGAGATTTGTAAAACCTATTGTATTACGTACAGGCGTTAATATGATGCTTCAATCGGGCGTGGAACAGGGGTGGGAGAAGTCTTATGAGATCTGAGATTTGATAACCTCTATCAGAATCGAGTTCCTGGTAGAATGGTTGATCAACGGCATCAACATTGAACAAGTCTAGCTGATGATGGTATCATTGATCAGCTGATATTGATGGGAATGTAATGTTTTCTTGACAATGTCAGTTCCCAACTGTTGCATGCACACTCATCTTGTCCACTTCGCGTAGGACTTTCGCCCAGATTTTGGCAAACACCAGGCATTTTCTCTATTCCATAGTGATTCGTGAAGCCATGCCATGCCACAAACTGCCATGCCTATTTCATATGAGACCCGTGAAGATCTGGGTTAGGATTGGTCTTCAGTAACCCATGCTTGTCGTAAGAGGCGGCTAACAGGATCGGGTGGTCAGGCTCGCTGACTTGGTTGACATATGTCATAGAATCCCAGTTGCGTATATTAATGTTCATGCTGTTGATTACTGGCTTGTCTGGTCCAGACTCGATTATTTGTAGACCGCCGCCATGTAGCTGGAATATTGCTGAGTGCGGCGTAAAACTAAACTAATTCACTCACTGTTATATTTGCGAGTAAACTATGCCTGAAAATACTGGACTCCATATCACAGTGTGTCTAGCTCATTATGTTGTGAGAATCATAGCTTGAGATGCCTCAGGCGCTTTATGTACACGGTGCAGAATTCCAGGATTCTGATCGTTTAGTTGTGAGTGTGTGGGGTTCATAAACATAATATCAAGTTCGTCTCTACGTTCATTTTCCGCCATGTTCAATTGGGTTTTCTCCCTGTGAAGTAATTAAAGTTCACTTCAAAGTTTGCTGGAGTAGCAGTAGCAGCACTGGAACCCTTACCTCGAAACATTCTCAGAAATATACATGTAAATGGTCGATAAACTAAAGCAAATATTTATTGGTGCTTCCAACAAAATCAATGACATTTTGTTCAAACATAAAAACACACATGCTGCACATTAACAATTGATGAGAACAATATAAGTCCTTGAAAAATACTGACGTTCCAACATATAAGTAATACTTAATTGGCAAATTAGTCAAACTGAGATGGCACAGCATGGAATTGCTTTGAGTTATTTATTATTAATTACCAGTAACTGTTCAAAACAAGCATGGCGAGAATTGATTCATAATTGATTTGAAGTCGACAGTCTTCAGAATCATTTGCCATACTCATGACTGCAAGCCAGATCAAACGTTGCTGTTCAACTCTACTGCGAAACTGAGTTTTGAAGTTTCCGTCTTGAAACTGAACGTTCTCTTGCTCAGTTGGTCACTGACTTGTCACAGATTGCCACTATTTTACTTTACAATGCAGTTTCACAATTGTCCTGAAATAACGTGTGGTGTTTGATGATAAGATGCTCATATCCATATACAAGGTCATCACAATCAATGTCTTCAGGACACAGATTAGCCAGATGTTCACACCTTTTGTTTAGTTCATCAGAACCAATTGTGTTTAATTGACCGATGAAAGAAACCATATTTCCAATCAACGAATAAGCTTCTGCATGTTTTGTTACTTAATAGATTAAAAAGTCCAGAACAGGAAGGCATTTTCCGCCTTGAAATGTTCACTTCTACGGAGAATTATCTCTTCTCCGATGAGTCATATCTAGTAAGACTGATCTGGATTCCAACTCCAGGTTTTTATTTCGTACTATTTGTTCCTAATTTCCTGAAGGAAATGTGCTGTTTTCGTTCACTCTTTCAAGAATGCCATTCCAAAGAATTGTTGCAGTTTCCCCATTTACTTACTCGGTCATTCTGCCTCTGACATCTGGCAGGCGCTTCACCACAACACATTTTCCTCTCGATGATGCCAGAACATTCCATAGCTGTTTACAAGCAGTGAAGACCGCCTCTGTGGTGTAGTGGTTAGAGCGTCCGCCCCGAGAGCGGAAGGTCGCGGGTTCGATCCCCGACCGCGTCATACAAAAAGACGTTAAAATATGGTACGTGCTGGTCCCTGCCTGGCGCTCGGCATTAATGGGTACAAGGACTGTCGGCTCGGAGTCAGTATAATGTGTCTGAGTGGGGTATTCATGCTTCACTGCGGCATGGTATCTCAGTGGGCTAGCACTATAAAACCAGCTTCAGTCTGGGCTAGTACAAGCAGCCGCACATACACATACAGACGCATGCACGTCGTCATATGAGCGAAATATTCTCAAGCACGACGTTAAACCCCATTTTACCTCACCTCACCTCACAAGCAGTGAAACGGGAACACAGACGAAAAAGTCAAAGTATAACACTCTCCTGCTTTTACTCCCGTCAAATTCAGGCTGTGTCTGGTACAGGTGACATAGATGGCGAGCCTAGTGAAACGCTCCATCCTTGAATGAACGGATAATAAATGTAGCTGATCAGTGACATATCTCGAGTGTATTTCCAGTTACTTTAAATATGGAATTG